ATCACAATTTTGGAGATCTTTCTGACAGAAGCTACACTCGAGACATTATAACGGCGTGCCAGTTCAAAAGCATTTGCATTATTGATATTTAAATATGCCTACTCTTTTGTCCTTTTACTGTTTCCAGTTAAAAGTTTGCCATTTATTTGCCTAAAATTCTCTGTATTTATATAAATAAAGAGATGTCTTTCCTTGTTAATTTTCCTTTTACAAGCATCTTATTTTGAAAAGTTAAAACATATAACTTAACTTGAAGTACATGAGATCATTTTGTATTATTGTGCAAAAGGTTTTGGAAAATGCAGGTATTCTGAAGCTGATGATGGTTTTAACATGTAAGCTTGTGTGGTTACGGGAAAATGAAATCTTGAAATTCATAGAAAATCTCAGCCATGAGAAGAAGACCTAAAGAGATTGTCATTAATTAAGAAGTTGGTTATGGGTACTGGTGGGTTTTCAGGAAAGAAAGAAGTCAAGGCCCTGTTAAGCTGAGAAATATGGAATTGAGATTGTTAGCTGGGGCGAACTGGTCAAATGTTCTATGCCCAAGATGAAACCGAGTTCCATCGAGATCAAAGGATATGGTGTTCCTTCGAAGAAGAAAATGCATTAAATTGCATAATTGCATACATTTTAGGCATAAATAGGATCATGGCATTCATAATTGCGTGATGACTTAAATATTTACAGGTTTCACAGGAATAGTTAAAGATTGAAGATATTGAAGCATCGAGACGAACATAACTGGTTTGGAGATTTTGAAAAGAATGATGTTTATACGAAAACTGAGCCAAAGCAGATTCACATATCCAATGGTTTCCAGACAAGTTTTCGTGATGGAGATGGATTTTCAGAAATTTTATCAAATCCTAAATTTTTGAATATAATATTTTCAAACATACATTAATGATTGGTAATGTTTGATTTTCAGGTTGGACCTTCGAAACAGGTCAATCTCAAGCCTTCACAGAAGAATAGTGAAGCAAACCATCATAAGCCTTCACTGAAGAGTAGTGAAGCAAACTCATTTTATGAAGATCGAGTTCTATACTCTCTAAAGGAATAGAGAGCAGACTCGTTTTATGAAGATTGTTCGAGTTCTATACTCTCTAAAGGAATAGAGAGCGGACTCGTTTTATGAAGATTGTTCGAGTTCTATACTCTCTAAAGGAATAGAGAGCGGACCCGCTTTATGAAGATTCTTCGAGTTCTATACTCTCTGAAGAAATAGAGAGCGGACCCGTTTTATGAAGATTGTTCGAGTTCTATACTCTCTGAAGAAATAGAGAGCGGACCCGTTTTATGAAGATTGTTCGAGTTCTATACTCCCTGAATGAATAGGGAGCGGACACATTTGTTGAAGATTGTTCGAGTTCTATACTCTCTGAAGGAATAGAGAGCGGACCCGTTTTATGAAGATTATTCGAGTTCTATACTCCCTGAACGAATAGGGAGCGGACCCGTTTGTTGAAGATTGTTCGAGTTCTATACTCCCTGAACGAATAGGGAGCGGACCCGTTTATTGAAGATTGATCGAGTCTTATACTCTCTGAAGGAATAGGGAGCGGACACGTTTGTTGAAGATCAAGTCCTATACTCTCTGAAGAAATAGGGAGCAGACACATTTGTTAAAGATTGTTTGAGTCCTATACTCTCTGAAGAAATAGGGATCGGACGCGTTTTTTTTAAGATTGTTCGAGTCTTATACTCCCTGACTGAATAGGGAGCAGACACGTTTGCCGAAGATTGTTCGAGTCTTATACTCCTTGAAAGAATAGGGAGCAGACCCGCCATTTGAAGATTTTTCAAGTCTTGCTTATCCTGAAATAGCAGAGAAGCGGATTAATCTTTTGAAGTTCTAATGGCCGGACAAACTTGATCATCTATTGATCTTTGCTCTATTCTCGTTACACGATAATGAGCAAAGAGGGGCAGCTGTAGATACTCGATTTGTCCGAGGTTATGTCGGAGCAGACCTGAAGCCATGGCAACCTAACCCGACCCCAAGCCAGTTGAAGGCCCAATTTAAACCCAATGATCTAGCAGAGTATTTACCAGTTCACGTGAGGATTCCCTAAAACAATGGGAATTTATTTTAGCCGTGTATGATAACTGGTAAGTTATCAAAAATTACCAATAAGATCGGGTCCATGATTTTGGAGAGGGAAGGAAACTGTAAATGGAGTGGGGTCGGTTTTTTATTAGGAATTAACCTCTAGAAACGAAAAGGGGACTAGGATCACAAATAACAGAAAAAAGAGGAAAGAGGGGGGAGATTTGATCGAGTTTCAGAGACCATTACGAGAAGAAGGGGAAACCAGATTTTCTTGTTTTTTTACATAGCAGAACAAGGGGAAAGAAACCAAAAAAAAACAACATTTCCATATTAAAAGATCGAGCAGTGTAACAGAGGTTGGATCCTCGTTTTTCCGGAGATCAATAACAAGCAAGGAACAATTCTTTTGGTATCTTCTATCTTTATTTCATTTTCTGGTAATTTCCATGAATGCTTTTATTCTAAACAAGTTAAAATACAGGAAAGATTAGTTAACTACATTACCTTGCTTGATTTTGCTCTCCATTTGCCTTGTAATTATCACAAAGCGTTTAGTTGGGGTGTTGGTGAGAGTTAGGTTTCCTTGAGTAGCCATCATTCGTAAGTTAGAGGTGAAGTCTTCAGAGAAATAAATAGAAAATGGTGAGGAAATAGCTAGTTTACCTGTCGTCGAAATTTTCGTCTGGGAAGGCTCTCGGCAGCAATGGTCGAAGGTCGTAGCAGCATTAAAATTCCCCACTACTCTGTAGCCATTTTTCTCTCCAATCGCCTCTAAGAACCCACCTTTCAATTCCTTTGATCGACAAACATGAGAGCCCCACCGAATTTCGTATGTTGGATTCCAACCAATTTTGATAATCAACATTTTTGGTCGATTAAACCGAGACCCAAACTGAACTTAAAGCTCCTTATTTTCCTATCATAAGTCCCAAATTACAGCCCCTAAAATTAATTATAAATCCTCAGAATTTTTCATCATTCTACCCAACGATTACACCTCCATTTACTTGCTTCAACTCCGGGCGAAAGACTCGAATAAAGTGACGAGCGATAAGGGGGTGATGGTGAGCTATGGTTAGAAGAGAAGTGGCCACCAAGGCTAGGAGAGATGAGTATGGTCAGTATGCTAAAAAGATTGAAAAAGGGAGCTTGAACGGCAGAGTTTTCTTGCGCATGATTCACTTAGGATTAGATTTAGTTTAGTTTTTTTTTTAGTTTAGGTTATATATTAAAGAATTTGGGTTAATTACTTTCTGGCCATCAAATTTTCTTGGTAAAATCAGGTTTCCAGTCCCCAAATTTTAAGACTATTTTACACTTTAGTCACCTTTAGGACTACTTTTAAATTTAATCCTTTGTGTTTGTCTTGATTTAGTTATTTTCTAGTTTTTAGTTTTAGTTATAATCTTGTTAGATTATTTGGGTGTAGATTCCTCATTTATACGCATGTTTCATTTTAATCTATACTTTAGTTTTAGTTTGTATGTCGAAGTTTACATTCATTTAAATTTAGTCATTACATTTATGTATATATACACTTTTTAAAATTTATAGTTTAGCATGTTATGATTTTGTTTTTATATTTGAGTCACATTTTGTACATTAGGTATTAATATGCGTAATTTATGATTTTTTTAATTAAAATATACGTACATATTTTTTTTGTATGTCACATTGTATGATATTTTTAATTTTGTTTAATTAATTTTTGGCATTACATACTTTTTGTACAATTTGTATGATATCCTCATTTGTATAACTCGACATTTTACATAATTGGATTAAGGTTAATACCCTTTTAATTTAAAATTGTTTTAAGTGGGCAGTCATAACTGATTTGAGGCCCGCTTTTAATGATTTTAAAATAAAAGTGTATCCCGAAAGTAAAACCAAAAAATTGATTCGTCACCTAAAATTTGGGAACGAGAGAAAAAGAAATGTTCGTTTATTTAAATATATCGAGAAAATGTTGTTATATCTTTAAGATCTGGTCTCGATATTTGTAAATAATCGAACATTCTTTATCTTTCTAAAACGACTTGGTAATTTTAATTTAATTTGTTTGAGTGCTTTTGAATGTTTTTAAATTTACGTCATTGTTTTAAGGGATCAAAAATCAAATAAAGTTCAAATTTGTAAAATTCAATGCAATGACGTTAATTAATCAACTAGGTACCAATTTAGGGCGTCGTGTGGGTGCTAATCCTTCCCTATACGTAACTGACTCCTGAATTCAGATTTTGATAACGCAGACCTTAATTTATTGTTTTAATTTAAATTAATTTTTATTTAAAATAACAAACATCTTTGGGTGCCCAATCACACCCTAATCAAAGATTGGTGGCGACTCTTTGAACAATATGGTTTTAACGAAAAGAAAATTTCAATTTTTTCGAAACGAGAGGTTTTTAAATCGCATTTATTTTTTAAATTAAAAATCAATTGAAAATGTAAATTAAAAATTAATGTGGTTTTTCAAAATCTCACATTTTCACTTTGTTTAAGAAAAATCGTTTCGACAATTTGCGTTCAATATTAAGCACACATAACACACAACAATCACCATCAGTCACGATTTCATATGAGTTTTGGTCGTTAGGGGGAGGTTAGGTCTGGTAGAGATTCATCGACGAAAAAAGATGATAACCAATGTAGGTTTATAAGTTGAAATGAAGGTTTTTAAAGTTTTGATGTTATTTCAAAATTTTATGTTATATATATAATTTTACTTTATAAATAAATTTCTTAAAGTCATTAGATTGTGACATGTATCACTTAATGAGATAAATTAATACCGTTGATGATCCGACCTTCTAAAATGATAACATTTATAAATTTAAACATTAAGATAAGTCAAAATATTTTAAATACCTATTCGTGAAATACAATATAGTTTCGACATTTATTTAATATTTAAGCCTATCTGAAAACAGAGTTGCAAGATAGTTTTGTCCGCCCCGTCTTTCATACTCATAAATCAATCTATTTCTCTCTGGTTTGAGATTTCTATCTTCTACAGTATTTTCTTCATCAATGGCGACTCAAGGGCAAGTCATAACTTGCAAAAGGTACCCTATTTGTTTATTTATTTTTTGATGATGCGTTTACTAGACGTTATGGAACCCTATTAATTCTAATGCGGTTGCGATTTTGAAGCGGCGGTGGATTATGAACCGAACAAGCCACTGGTCATTGAGGATGTCCAGGTGGCTCCGCCGCAAGCCGGTGAGGTTCGGATCAAGATTCTCTTCATTGCTCTCTGCCACACCGATGCCTACACTTGGAGCGGAAAGGTTTTTTTCTTTCCTTTTTTGTTAAATATACGTTTTCCATTTCATTTTTCTATATCCCAGTTGCTTTATTAGTATAATTCAAAATGAATCCGGTTGCATCTTACGTGTTTCCTTCTTGGTTTGAAAAATGTGTAAGCTCCAATTGCTTTATCTCGAAGAGGGAACTGTTTAAGATGAGAAAAGAATTGGATTATTTTAGCCTTATTTACTTTTCTATCCAAACAAACATTACTTAATGACTTTCTTCTTCAAAGTGCTATGTAAACTGGATTGCTAGTCCTGAGGAAAATGTGGAAATTCCATGCTAAATGGGAGTGTTTTGCTGATTTTGTTTTGTTGCTTTAAAATGGGAACTGTATGGTGTCGTTAATTGCAATACTTTTTTTGGTGATTTGAAACTGAAGTGAGATATTATTGATGAATATAATTTGATTTCCATGTATCCTCTTGTAGTGACTGTGATAGCGCCTAGTCTAATCTGGTTAGAGTTTTTCCTTTTCTTCTGATATTTTCTAATCAGCTGTTTAATTATGATGTATAATATGCTTGATTTACCTATTTCAAGATCCTGAGGGTCTATTCCCATGCATTCTTGGACATGAGGCTGCTGGGTACGTTATTTGCTATTAGTTTTTGTAGTTTCTGAGCCTCTTGATTGCTGATGAGCTTAGAATTGTTTTGAAATTTTGAGCGCAGGATTGTAGAAAGTGTTGGTGAAGGTGTAACTGAAGTTCAACCAGGTGATCATGTCATCCCTTGTTACCAGGCAGAGTGTAGAGAATGCAAATCAGGGAAGACCAACCTGTGTGGCAAAGTTAGGACTAGGGGTGTAAACGAGCCGAGCCGAGTCGAGCTCGAGTATCGCTGAGCTCGACTCGACTCGAAAACTCGCGAGCTTAAAATTTTTAAGCTCGACTCAAACTCGAAATCCTGAATTGAAGTTCGTGACCAGCTCGAAAAGGCTCGAAATAAAAAAAAAAATCTTAAACTTAACTAGATTGAAGCCTCAAACTCGAACCTGAACCTTAAATACATGAAAGCCTTACTGTATTTTTTTTATAAAAAAATCAACACATAAATGTTAATATTATTAATAATTTTTTTTTAAATATAATCTTAATATATTATATTTTCGAGCTGCTCACGAGCTTTTCGAATCGAGTATCAACTAGTTCGTTTCGGCTCGTTAAGAATTCGAGTCGAGCTCGAGTCGAGTCCATTCGATCCGAGTATTTATCGAGCCTTGACCGAGTCGATCTCGAGTAGCTCGCGATCTGTCTCGTCTCATTTACAGCCCTAGTTAGGACTGCTACTGGAGCTGGAGTCATGATGAATGATCGCAAGAGCCGCTTCTCAGTAAATAGCAAACCAATCTACCACTTCATGGGCACCTCTACGTTTAGCCAGTACACGGTTGTGCATGATGTTAGTGTTGCAAAGATTGATCCACAAGCTACTGTGGACAAAGTATTCCTTCTTGGTTGTGGTGTTCCAACTGGTAAACACTTGTTTAACATGCTCATTATTTCATGAATTTGTAATTACATACATATTTGGTTTGATAGTGCATATGTATTTGGTTTTGTAATTGCGTATACTGCAGCATTTTTACAAAACCCCCGTATTTATATATATATTGTGTTGGATAGGGCTTGGAGCAGTTTGGAACACAGCCAAAGTTGAACCAGGGTCTACTGTTGCTATTTTTGGCCTTGGGACTGTTGGTCTTGCCGTAAGGGTCAAATATGCATCTTACTTGCCTTGAAATTTATTAATACAGTTTTTCATGGAGTTCTGTGCATGTTTGAGCTGTGTTTTCAAAATATTTTTTATTTTCATCATTCTTCTCTTTATGGTACTAGTCTGTTAGATATTAAATATAGTTTATCTTTGAATGCAATTGTGCAGGTGCAGAGGGTGCGAAATCAGCTGGTGCTTCAAGAATAATTGGTGTAGATATTGATAGCAAGAAGTATGATATTGGTAAGTAGTTTACAAATAATAATATTACAAAGAAGACTGTTTAGTCAGTCTTAATATGGAATATTCAGTAAATATTCTGTACAATGTGAGTAATGGAATAAATTGCTAGAAAACGAGTGGTTACTGCTTTGCTTGTCTTTCTGTAAAAAATCTAAAACATGCATTACATACGGTCTTCTCCTTCTAGATGCTGATTTCCTTCTGCTTGGTGAATGCATCTTGCAGCAAAGAATTTTGGAGTTACAGAGTTTGTGAATCCAAAGGACTATGATAAACCAATTCAGCAGGTCCTTGTTGATCTCACAGATGGTGGTTTTGATTACAATTTCAAGCGTATCGGAAATGTCTCTGTTATGAGAGCTGCTTTGGAATGCTGTCATAAGGTATGAGGTGCCTGAATTTGATGAGCTTTAATGACTGTAAATGGAATACCACTTATAATGCGCCTTATAAATTTTCAGGCTGGGGAACTTCGGTTATCATAGGTGTTGCCGCATCAGGTCAGTAGATATCTACTCGACCTTTCCAATTGGTGACTGGCCGTGTTTGGAAAGGGACTGCTTTCGGTGGATTCAAGAGTCGTTCACAAGTTCCCTGGCTTGTTGACAAGTACATGAAGAAGGTAAATGCAGTTTGTGTGCAATTCTATCTTTACACCTATAGAGTGAGCAGGACTTTATTATACTCTCCTTCCCACTACAGGAAATCAAAATCGACGAGTACATCACCCACAATTTGACTCTCGACGATATTAATAAGGCGTTTGATCTAATGCACGAAGGGGGTTGCCTCTGATGCGTGCTAAAGTTGCATGAATAAGACTATATGTGTGAACTAAAGGGGTGATCTGTGAAGAACTACGTGCCTTTATCCTCTGGAACCGGGTGTGTACACTTTTATTGCCTTACGAGTATAAACTAGAACGTGTTTCTATGAAGCCTAGTGTTTAAGCCTTGCGAAAAATGCTTGCTTTACCGTATTAGAAGAGAACCTGCGATGGAGATGTATGCATGAATAAAATAATGGAGCAACAAATCATCTGAATTATGGAGTTGATGAGTATCAGACATTGATGTTCTGAATTTTTGGTGGTTTACTCCTGCAACTGTTTTTTTTTAAGAGAGTTGTATAATTTGCAGTTCGAAAGTGTAGATTACACGTGCCCTCCTATCTAGCAATGGACCAAGGGGGAGCAAGTGGAGGCTGTGGTCCCTTAAAAAATTTAAATTCTCATATATTTTAATTATTTTTTTTGTATTTTTTATTGAAAATATATTTTTCGTCCTCCTAAAATTTAATAATTTTCTCATCCCTTAGAATTAGGGGTGAGTAAAATTCAGTTAGACTCGAAAAATTAATTTTTTTTTTCAATTTTGAGTTATTCGAGTCAACTTGAATTATCGATTCGATTTTCAAGATTGAGTCGAGTTGAAATTTGGAAATTTTGAGTTAACCAAAAAATTGAAAATTTGACTAAATATTTTGATAGTTTTACGATTTAGTCCTTGATTTCATTATTCATTCGATTCCTCCTTGAAGTTTCATTTTTACTAAATTTGAATTACATACTCCTAAACTATTATAGAATACATATGTATTTTCAATTCTTCTTTTGATGACAAGTTTTTTAATTTTTTAATTTAGTCTCTTAATTTTTCATAATTTATTTTTTTACCAAATTTGAACTATATGCTCATATATCACAATAGAATACTTATATAATTTCAAGTCTTATTTTTTACTAAAAATGTACACTCGCTTTTCTATTTATTCTCTTAACTTTGCATTTTACTCAATTTGATTTTTTTACCGTAATTATTTATAAATTTTTTATTCTCATCAATTTCTTGACTCTTCTATACTCTCATCAATATTTGATATATTAAATAACATTATAATGTGAAAATAATATATATATATATATATGGGTAGAGAAAGTCGAAAAATTAAAATCAATCTTTATCATAATACTATAAATAATTATATAAAATTAGTATAGAAACTTGACTAGACTAAAAAAATTAAGTTAAGTTCGAGTTGTAAAATACGATTCATCAATTTGAATAACTCAATTTTTTCTTCGACTCGATCGATTACTCATCTCTACTTAAAATTTTATAAATTTATTTGTGTAACATAAAATCATGTTTCTTTTCTTCCTCCTATCTTAACCAAGATGAATGAACCATGATTCGTTTTAGAGTCAATGAATGGATGTATTTTCCCCATATGACAAACCTTTTGACTCTTTGAGTTCTAACTTTGAAAATTTCTGATTTGCTTGTACTACACTGTGGTTTTGAATTGGTTTACACAACCACTTTGAAAGTAACTGTTCCGAAATAATATAGCGCACGTGTAAGTATTGCATTACAAAATGTGCTGAAATTTATATAAAATGCATAATATATTAATAGTGAACGTTGCATTACAAGAGATCACACTGAAATCTGTTTTTTTCTTTAATAGATGAAAGGTGAATGTTGTTTAAGGTTTGAATTCGAGGATTAATAGTGCCGTTCGAAATCTGCATTGGGGCCGTAGCCTATGGATCATCATCTTCATCTTCGGCTTCGTCCAAGATTGCATTGGCTTTTTCCATGGCAACAATCTCACTGCAAATTAAATGCAGCAATCGAAGTTAAAAACAGAAAAGGAGAATTTAAAGAGATGATATATAACAAGGTGTTTTTTTTTTTTTTTGCAGAAACAAACCGAAGGAAACGAGTGAGAATAGCAGCTTGAACCAGATCTCCACTCTCACGCGCCTTCAAGATCCCGTACATGAGAAGGAGCTTGGCTCGAGTGATGGCCGATTGCTTCACGATCATTTCAGTCTCTTCTTTCAGTTCGTCGCATTGTTTCGCGATCTCATTGAACTTGGTCACTAATTTCCTCTTCTCGTCTCTCAAGCATCCTTGTTCTTCCTTTACCTTCCCCATCTCAGCTTTCGCTCGTCTTGCTTCAACCCTAACCCCCAATTTCTTCTCCGTTCGTGGTTTCGAGCCCACCCGATCAGTCTTCCTCGGCGCCATGTTATTAGGATTTAGAATTCTGAATCAAAAGCCGATTGAGATAAATGATCAGTGAACTCTGACATGGTTTAACTTAAATAGTTGTATGCTCCAACAATCTCTCTGAACTTTACCCAGTTGCTGGGAAGAGAGCTCGAACTTTGCTGGAAAGCGCGATTTGGAAAAAAAAAATGTGCTTTATAATGGTCAAGGTCAACAGCGTCAGTCTATCGCACGGTCTTTAAACTGTAAACGCGCGATTGCCAGGGATTTTGCCTCGAAATGCCATCTTGAAAGAGGATACCAAGGCTTTTTAAACATTTGGAAAAAAAAAAAATTTAATTAAAAGAGTATTTTTATCTTTTGAGACATCATATCAAAATACGATGTGTGTGAATATTTATTGTTAAATGATTAATAAAATTTTGAATATATAATATTTTATATTTATTTGGCTAATAAAAATTTAACAATTTTATAAATTGAAAACTAAATTAAAATATAAGGGTAAAGTACACAATGGTCTCTCGATTATAAAGTATTATTTTATTGAATCATCCGTTTATTACAAATTACAAAATGGCTCACTAATTATAGGATGTTTTTTAAGTCCTCCAACTATTAAAAGTTATAAAATGGTCACTTGACTATTTATTATGTTCTAAACTCGTATTTTTCGTTAAAAATTATGAGAGTTTAAATTGGAAGTTAACCTGTTAATTGAGATATGATATTCGTTTGAGATTCTCTGGGATCATATTATATTATGTTTCAGTCAGCAGGCTAACGTCCAACTCCAATCGCCATCAAATTTTTAATGAAAAATAACAGGTTTGGACCACAATAAATAGTCAAATTATCATTTTATAACTTTTAATAGTCAAAGACTTGAAAAAACAATATCTTATAGTTAAGGAACCGTTTTATAACTTTTAATAATCGAAAGACTCAATAAAACAATACCCTATAATCGAAAACCATTTATGTACTTTGCTCAAAATATAAAATATACCGTAAAAGGGACTAAAACTATAAAAAAAATCTTAGGATTTATCCAAACTTGTAACTTTCATGTTCGTTTCATTTCTCTAACCACTTCAACAGGATTTCAAAGCACGCGCCGTCCGGTACGAGACCTTCTGATTTCATGGTCATTAACGGCTAAAACAATAATTAATTAATATATTTTCAAGTAGACGATGGTACGTGAGAAGGACGCTCTAAATAGGGAAAGTGACATCGTACCGCATAGCAGCTTACTCATAATCGGCGCCATAAACGAAGAGCTCTCAACTCTCAAGTGTGAAAATCTGGGAGAAAAACCAAAGGAAAACGACAACTGTCAAGCCGGGTGAGTGAGCCGGTGAGGCAATGATCATACCTAACGGTAAAAATTATGTGGCAAATGTGTTTTTTAGATAAACTACGAATTTAGCACTTAAAATATCGATTTTGATATATCTAAACTTTCAATTTTTTTAAAATCATACCTAACATTTAATTTTTATTTTATTTTAATATCCACCGTTAAAAATCCAACGCGTTTAGTACCAAAACTATCTATTTTGAACTGTTTTAGTACCTAAACTTTCAATTTTTTCAAAACTTAGAGTTGAATTTTGAACGAGATACTAAAATAAAATAAAAATTAAATTTTAGATATTATTTTATAAAAAATTAAAAGTACTAAACCGGATCAAAACTGATAATTTAGGTATTAAACGTGGAATTTACCCTTTTTTGGCTTTGGCGTTGTTGGTTTGGAAAGTCTTTTTGGCACCATTGCATGCATGCCACATGCACGTAGAATTTCCTTAGTAAAAAAAAACACTGTACTTTATCGTTGATGCAAGTTAATGCTTCTCCTTTGTTTGAAGCATTAATATTATAAAAGCTTAAAAAAAAAACCATGGCAATGCCATGAATTGAGTCTCTTTATGATTCATTCATTTTCCTTCAATGTCTTGAATTGTTTTTCCACTTAAAAAAGGGTTTCTGATTTCTTTTAGCATTTTTACGATTCCCTTCATGAACCAACCAACCAAAAGGCAAAGTTTTTTCACAGCAAAAAGAACTAAGCTAGCGTTTGACATTTACTTCCCTATATATAATGCCATCTTCATTATTTAGTTGTGTGTGTGTGTGTGTTTTTTTTTTATTAATTTCCTAGAAACGAGAAGCCCAGAGTTCGCTTAATCTCCTTTTCTTATGTGTAACCTCTCCTTCTCTTTGTATTTATAACTCCTATTTTTAGCGTTCTTCTCTTTCTCTCTCTTGCTTGAAGGAATAAAATCTCTGCTAAACAGATCCAAAAGGAAATACAATGCAAGTTTTCAGGTAAGAAAGAATCTCTCGCGTTGCTCTTCCGATTAAATTTTCTGACTTCTTGCATAATTCGGTTTTCATCCCATGTTATCCAGTGTCCTTTACATAAGGTTCTGTGTTGATTTTATAAAAGTTTTGGATTTATATGTTAAAAATTGGCACATCAAATTGCATCAATTGTCAACATTATGGGTGGCAATTTGGTGGCATTAATGGGGTGGCAAAATTGGTCAAATTTGGCCACCAAATTGTTGAAAATTTTGGATGATAAAACTATGCAATTAGTCATTGTAATTTAGGGTATTTACAAATTAGTCCTTAAAGCGTCAACTATAAATACCCTAGCTCATTTAGCTTCAAAACCATCCCAAAGCATTCTAGCTTTCTTCCAATACTAGAGAGAATTTAGAGAGTTTCTTGAGAGTTGTTTTCTCCTTTTTATCAAGAGAGAATTATCATTGTTTTCTCTTTGGTAGATCGAGAGGGGTTGTAATTCCTATTTTCTCATAGTGAAATTCTTCTACCGTTGCCCGTGGTTTTTACCCTATATAATTTAGGGGTTTTCCACGTAAATTTTGTGTCTCTTTTTATCTTCATTTTTATTTTCTCAAATTATCAGTTGCGATTTTGCTCTATTAGATAGCCGTCTTCCGCAACAATTGGTATTAGAGTTAGATTAGAGTGTGTAATATCTGCTTATTGTCTTTGTGGTTGCCACCAAAAGGTGGATCCTCCAACATAAGAAAATAAGAAGTTATTACCCATTCTTTGAAGGTTCCAGAGAACTATTCACGATAGTGAAATAGTGGGAGCTATCCGTAAAAGAAGTTATGGCAACAAAATTTGATATTGAAAAATTCAATGGGAGAAATTTCTCATTGTGAAAATTGAAGATGAATGACATCCTAAGGAAAGACGGGTGTCTAGCGGCTATCAGTGAAAGTCCGATGTGTTTTCAACTTTCAAAAACTTCAAAGCGCGGGTGGAACTTGATTCTGGAAATAAAATCAATTGTTTCAGAACAGATAATGGAAGAGAATACACAAGTGAAGAATTTGATAACTTTTGAAGGAAAGAAGGCATCAAAAGACAGTTCACAGTGGCGAACACTCCTCAACAAAATGGAGTGGCAAAGCGGATGAACAGAACCTTGTTAGAAAGAACAAGAGCAATGTTGAGGGATGCAGGCCTAGAAAAATCATTCTGGGCAGAAGCAGTCAATAGCGTCTGTTATTTGGTGAATCGAGCTCCATCAACTGAAATAGAGCTGAAGACACCAATGGAGATGTGGACTTCTAAACCAGTTGATTATTCAAACCTCCATGTATTTGGAAGTTTTGTGTACGTGATGTACAATGCCCAAGAAATTTCAAAGCTGGATCCAAAATCCAGGAAATGCAAATTCTTGGGGTATGCTGATGGAGTAAAGGGGTATCGCTTGTGGGATCCTACTACCCGCAAAGTGATCATTAATAGGGATGTTATCTTTGTAGAAGATAAGTTACAAAGAAAAGAAGATGATGATAGCGCTGAAAAGTTAGAGACTACAGAGATACATGTGGAAAATGAGGTTGAACAAGGAGATTCTTCTGAAGCAAAACCAGCACATGATGAACAAGAACCAGGGAGTTCTGAAACTCCAACAACTCGTCAATCAGATCGTGTGAGAAGACGTCCCAATTGGCACTCAGATTATGTTATAGAAGATAATATTGCATACTGCCTTTTAACAGAGGACGGTGAGCCATCAACATACCAGGAGGCAATACACAGCTCAGATGTTTCACTGTGGATGATGGCGATGCAAGAAGAAATCGAAGCCCTTCATAAAAATAATACATGGGACCTTGTGCCACTACCACAAGGAAGGAAGCCAATTGGTAACAAATGGGTTTTCAAAATCAAGCGAAATGGTGACGACCAAGTGGAGAGGTGTCGTGCAAGACTGGTGGTCAAAGGATATGCTCAAAAAGAATGTATTGATTTCAATGAAATATTTTCTCCTGTGGTTCGACTAACAACAGTTCGAGTAGTTTTGGCAATGTGTGCTACATTGGACTTACATCTAGAGCAGCTAGATGTTAAAACAGCTTTTCTTCATGGAAATCTTGAAGAAGAAATTTATATGCTCCAGCCTGAAGGTTTTGAAGAAAAAGAAAAGAAGAACTTGGTTTGCAGGTTGAACAAATCTCTGTACGGTCTAAAGCATGCGCCGAGGTGTTGGTATAAGAGATTTGATTCCTTCATTATGTGCCTTAGATACAACAGACTTAATGCAGACCCTTGTGCTTATTTCAAGAGGTCTGGTGATAACGATTTTGTTATATTGCTGTTGTATGTGGATGACATGTTGGTTGCAGGACCCAACAAAGATCATATTGAAGAATTGAAGGCACAACTGGCTAGGGAATTTGAAATGAAGGACTTGGGATCAACAAACAAGATTCTAGGGATGCAATTCACCGAGACAGAAGTAATAGGAAGATTTGGCTTTCACAAAAGAATTACTTGAAGAAAATCTTGTCACGATTTAGCATGCAAGATTGTAAGCCAATTTATACCCCTCTTCCTATTAACTTCAAATTATCCTCTAGTATGAGTCCTAGCAGTGAAGAAGAGAGGATGGAGATGTCTCGAGTACCGTATGCATCAACAGTGTGAAGTTTAATGTTCGCTATGATATGCACAAGACCAGACATTGCACAAGCAGT